CCAAGAGGGGCAGAATCACCCAAGGCTCTGATGGTCGTGTACATTTACAAATGAGTTTTCTGTCCTTTCAGGTAAAATCCTCTCATTTCCACCCAGGTGGGGGGAGGGGGGGGGGTCTTCCCACTGAAACCACCTCGTTTAAATCGTTCTTCTGGAACAGGAAGTGGAGCAGAACCAGTGACATCATACCAGAGGTCTGAGTGCGTGCATAAAGCAGTAAAAAAACGAGTTACAGCCAAGATGGTAAAACTCAGAAGCAGAGATGAGATCCACAGCGTGAGCTTTGGGCTGACTCAGCAGAAACGCTGAACCTGTAAATCACAGCTGTGACAGGAAACGTGAGCCCAAACAAGTCGTCTGGGAGTTCTGGTCCAGAAAAAAGACATCAAGTTACTTTTCACATCTTATACCTTAATCAGCAGCTGATCCTGAAGGCCAGTTATTGATAAGGAAACGTTTTTATTCTTCACCTAACTCGGAGCGAGCCTCCTTATTCCTGTTTGAATGGCTCACTTCCTGTGTGGAGAAGCAATAACAGGAAGTAGGAAACAGGTGTTCAAGCACGGGGTGAAAGGTCTCAGGATATGACTACAGGAAGTAAGAAAGCAAAACAACGTGGGCGTGCGGCTGAAGTCTGAACAAAAGCCTCTGCAGGTTAAAAATAGTCCAGAATAAAACATGGCTGCTTCCAGCTGAGCTAACGATGCTAACAGCTACACTGGTTTCTGCTGACCTTTGACCCCCGGATGCAGAAGAAATGGTGTAAATAACTGGGACGTAAAGCCGTTTCCATGGCTTTGTTATTGGCAGTGTCTGAACTAGCCGTTAGCTTATCAGTCAGGACAGACAGGAAGTTTTCCAGTTTTACACAGAAACACGTTTAGTCCTGTTCAGAACAGCAGATGTTCCACCAGAACTAAACTAGGAAAACAACAAGTCCGTTTCCTCGTCCGACGGTGAAACAGAACCGGCGTCTGCTGGGTGGAGTTTGTGCTTTTCATCAGCAGCTGTTTGCAGCTGTTGGCTAACGAGGGTCCAGCTCAGCTTTGAGCTCTCTCAGCGCGCCCGCTGGTTGGTTGTTGCCATTTCCTGTCCTTGGGCCAGGCCAGAACCACGCGCTCCAACAGCGGGCTCGACCCGTCTGTCAGAGGCACACGTGTGGAAGGAGGGCTGGAGCTTTATTCATCAGATTAAAGCAAACTTCTTCCTGTTTGTCACCGACAGAAACGTCTCTGATTCTGATCCGTGACGGGCAGAAGGACCACGTCTGCTGAAGTTTAACCCGGAGTCACAAACCCATTAAGGGTCCTCTCTGCGTCGGTATAAATAGCCTGAAGAGCAACAGGGGGATTCGGACTCTATTATAGGAGACTAAATATCAGCAGCTATTAGCCGACCCGTCTGCCTGCAGCTTCTCGGATCATCCAGAACCGGATTACTCAGCTGCCAGTCAGCCTCAGGATTTGGCCAGATCCCGCCCAGCAGCACATTAACAAACACATTCCTGTAAATTTGTATAAAATACCTGAAAATTGTGTTTGGCCCATTTTATCGGCTCAGAGCAGTAATCTCCTGGATCATCAGCTGTTGCTGGGCAACAGGAAGCTGGGTTTGGTTGGGAGAAGCACAAAAGTGCTTCCCTGAACCGGACCTACGAGGTCACGCTGCAGATATTAGTCTCTTGTTCAGACCAAAACTACAAGCTGTGTTTAGTTTGGACTCCTGCAGCCGACCGACAGCTGTTTGGAATAAACGTGCATAAAAATCTCTTTATTGCTGCGATTGAAACGGTTTGCTCTTCACAAACACAACTTTGTCTTTTTATGTGTGTGAGGCTGATCCTTTATTCACACACTCCCCATCCCATAATTCTGCTTCTGTCAAAACAAAAAAATCAGCTGGAGCTGAGAAAAAAATCAGGAGTTAAAGCTGTTATGGCGAATCTACAGAACCAGCTCAGCTTTAAACCCAAACACGGGCAGGAAACACCCACCCCTCCCCTAAGGTATCACCCACCAGAACCGGAAGCCCACCCCTCCCCTAAGGTATCACCCACCAGAACCGGAAGCCCACCCCTCCCCTAAGGTATCACCCACCAGAACCGGAAGCCCACCCCTCCCCTAAGGTATCACCCACCAGAACCGGAAGCCCACCCCTCCCCTAAGGTATCACCCACCAGAACCGGAAGCCCACCCCTCCCCTAAGGTATCACCCACCAGAACCGGAAGCCCACCCCTCCCCTAAGGTATCACCCACCAGAACCGGAAGCCCACCCCTCCCCTAAGGTATCACCCACCAGAACCGGAAGCCCACCCCTCCCCTAAGGTATCGCATCCACCAGAACCGGAAGCCCACCCCTCCCCTAAGGTATCGCATCCACCAGAACCGGAAGCCCACCCCTCCCCTAAGGTATCGCATCCACCAGAACCGGAAGCCCACCCCTCCCCTAAGGTATCGCATCCACCAGAACCGGAAGCCCACCCCTCCCCTAAGGTATCACCCACCAGAACCGGAAGCCCACCCCTCCCCTAAGGTATCGCATCCACCAGAACCGGAAGCCCACCCCTCCCCTAAGGTATCGCATCCACCAGAACCGGAAGCCCACCCCTCCCCTAAGGTATCACCCACCAGAACCGGAAGCCCACCCCTCCCCTAAGGTATCACCCACCAGAACCGGAAGCCCACCCCTCCCCTAAGGTATCACCCACCAGAACCGGAAGCCCACACTGCCAGAGGAAACGAGGGAGTGCTAAACACTAAAATGTCTTTTACTGTCTGTGACTTCAGACGGTGATTTTCTTTCTGGGACTCTGGTTTGTCCTAAAGCTGAAGTGGTAGCAGCCGGCTGTTTCTCCTTCTCTGGCATTATTGAGCGGAGAACCTCTCACACCGGTGGTGCTGTGCTGCTGAATACGTGAGTGTGTGATGAGTGTGTGATGAGCAGGGAAGTGCGGCGGTTTGGTGAGCTCGACAGCCGGAAGGTCCGATCGTTGGCTTTGGTCTGAAACGTGTTGTTGGTGGAGGTTCTTATTTACAGCTAAACGGTGCTAGAACGTAGCTCTGGGCGTCCGTATCGCTACTGCAGCTTTAATTCCACACCTGCTTTCTTTAGTTCACAGAAACACGAAGAGCTGGCAGAACCAAGCACCTGCTCAGGTCGGATCGGATCAAATCCAGAACCACGATCATACTGAAGCAATCAAACTTAGATAAAAACACATGAAGGGGCCGCAGGCCTGAGCAGTCGATAGCTGGGAACAAAGCCAGACCTGAGTAATCAATAGGGATCAATTGTGAAAGTAATCATTTAAGCAGGCCCAGATAATGATCGATGACCGCGCTAATTGTCCTCCACTACAAGCTGGTATGAGAATCCCACCTCCTGACCCGGAATGGTCCGGTCCACGACCCGGAGCGATCCAGCAACAGCAGCGGTTTTATCAACGATCAAAAACACTTTCTGAACTTCTACACTTCATCATCGCTGTTCTCCTGGTGCAGGTCAGGATTTCTACCTCCACCGTAAAACTACTACTTAAAAAATCTGCTTCAAACTGGTTAAACTCTCGAGTCTGCTGGACATGACCCGAGTGTCTGCACGTGTCAGCCTGCAGCTCCTGCGACACGTACACTTTACATGTCCACACCTCCAACACAACATCCTGTCTGACTAAATCTCATCTAGTCGCCGCTTGTTCTGTAATATCTGCTCTTCTTTCCTGGGTTCTCCTAACTTTAGTCCCTCTCCGTGTTTCTGCGGCTCCAGAAACATCACCGTTCTGCTTTCCACCCCTGAGCTCTCAGCAGAAGGGCGTGGCGTCCTGAAGAAGTGCAGCAGATGGATAAACCTACAGAGACTCTGCCTGGGTGCTCTTTTATTACGCGGCTCCGTGAAGAGCTGAAGGTAACAGTCGTGTCTTCTCCCCGTCGGGACGGTTCAGCTAAAATAAGTCTGGATGAGTTTGGGAGGATCAACAACGCCGATGAGAAACAAACAAAAACAATCAGAATCATTTCAACACGGCCCGGCCGAAGGAAAGGGCCTCACCAGGACACACGTTCGCTGTGGCGTTGTTTCCATGAGCTTCTGCAGCTTCACCAGATTTATCTCCAGCCAGTGTTGCATTCATGTGTCACCAACATCTGGCATTGGTGGTTGAGTCTGACCGCTGCACAAAGCCTTCTCCAGCACATCCCACCGGTTCTCACTGGGGTTAAGGTCTGGACTCTGGTGGCCCACCCATGTGTGAAAACGATGTCTCACGCTCCCTGAACCACTCTCTCAAGCCCAGATCATAGCACTGCCCCCACAGGCAGCTGCCTTCTTCTTACCCTGATGCGCCATCACTCTGGACCCGGGTCCATCTGGACTCATAGACCAGTTTCTATGAAGCGTTGGACAGTTCTGAACCCAGTTTTAGTCGTTTAGATGTTTTCTCTGCTTGATGCCGATGATCGGACCCTTCTCACCCAGACTAACGTCTTTCCAGCTGGTTGTTTAAATGAGAAGCAGCTCGTTGCACCAGTTGGGTTAAGTAAGTTGTTGCAGATGAAAGATGATCACCCTGCAGTGTTTATCCAATAGGAGGCTCCCATCTGTCTGCTCAGGTAAATCCAGGTGGACCAGGCTGGGCTAACTGGCTGTGCCAAATAAACCAACCTGTCTGAAACTCTTTACCTCAGATCTGCTGTTTTGATGTTTTGTGGGAGAGAAGTAGCTGGAGTCGGATGTGTGATGCATACGGGATGTACAAGATGTCATTAAAAGACTGAAAACTGGTATTTTCCAATATTAAACTTTAGTGCTGATATCAGCCAATACCGATAAGATACCGATGATATTGGAGATTAATAATCCAGGCAATGATTTTACTTCTGACCCAGGAGTTCACAGACCTGTTTGCTTTAATTCTCTATCAGCTGTTCAACATCTGGACTGATGTGTTCCTTCCAAGCAGCTGCAACACAACTAGAACCAGGGCAGAACAGAACACACGGACCTGTTTGACGCGGTCCGGGTTGACGGTGGTCTGTGGCTGCAGGATGCTGACCGGCTCTGTCTTCTGGGTGCTCTGAGGCATCTCCCTCACCTTCTCAGCGATGAAGTCATGGACACCGTTCAGCGCCTCCACCGTCCCCTGGATCAGACACACCCGCTCTGTTGTGCCTGCACACACACACACACACACACACACACACACACACACACACACACACACACACACACACACACACACACACACACACACACACACACACACACTCAGTCAATCAAACTTTATTTATAAAGCACTTTTCATGCAAAGCAAGCAACACAAAATGCTTAACAGATTAAAATGACCCGTATAACCCACATTCCCTCCCTTTCCACACTTAAAACAATTATGACAGTTTCACCCCCAATCCACAAACCATTCCCAGGCACACACACACACACGCACACATGCTCACACACACGTGCACGCGCACACACAAACGCGCGCACACACACACACACAGAGGTCAGTGAAGCTGAAAAAAAACAGCATGAAACTAATAAAAAAAGTTGTTGATGCGAAACAAGCGGCCATCTTGATTCTCGTCCCAACACATTTAACTTCATCTGTGTGCAGAAGCGTAGGAGCGTGTGGACGCTGTCCTCTCCAGCTGCAGACATGAGGACATGTTGGACAGACACAGATGTGTCTCTGCTGAAAACCCAACAGCAGAAACACAAACATGTTGCATCAAGAGGAGTGCTGGAGTCACCAGACCATCAGACAAAAGCAATCTGAGCCAAGGCCTCTACACTTCCTCTCCTCTCCCTCGCTCATCCATTCTCCGTTTGTTTCCCTTTCTTTCCATTTCTCTCTCCAACCTCTCCTCTTGGCTCCGGTAGTCGGCAGGCTCGGGTCTTATCGCGGCCCAGCAGAGTGTCAGTCAGCGTTTCCTGCCCCACCTCCTGTTCCCTGAACTACTGGCCCAGCTCAGTTTGGCCCGGCTCGGCCCTCTGTGGCTCCTCTTACAGCTGAGAGACTGTCAACATCTTCAGAGACAAAACAACTTCATGTTTGATGTATTAAACCAGAAATGTTAAAGCTGCTGCCAGTGGCTCATCAAGGTCACCATGGTAACCACAAACCTGTGTCTCTCCATCCCTTTTTTCCTCTCACCGGTGCCACGGCTCATACCAAAACTTTATTAGAAATATTTCCGGTTGATTAAAATCTCAACGGATACGGAGAGATAGGGGAGAGAGAAGGAAGAGGTGGGGGAGGGGGGTTCACAAAATAAACAATCAATGATGAACAACAATCTGCTTCTAGACCTGCAGAAAGAGAGAAAATCTACAACAGGACCAAAATAACGCTGTGCCAACAACATGAGGATATATAAAAGCACACGGTCATGCCTCACAGTGCATTTAGTGCCACCCACAGCCACCACACAGCTGTTGAAAATGCCCAAGTGAGAGCACCATGTGAGCACCTGTGTGCGTACACACACTTGTGTGTGTTAGGTTTCTCTATTGGAGTGTCCAACAGAGTGGGAGCGGCCACAGACCTGCCCCCCAGGACTGCTAACTCAATAACAGGCAGACAGGCCGAAGGCTCTGATGGTCACATGGTCAGTTAAGGCCGATCACTTCCTGTTTTACTGAGAACGATCTGTGAATGAAGACTATGGAAGCCTGGATGTGACACTCTGAGGGAACTCCAGATGTCCTTCAGCAGGCAGAACGCTCAGATATCTACATTTTCATGTCTAAGCTGTAGAAGACGAGATGATTTTCTTAAGTTGAGCACAAGCTGAACATTTGATGTTTTAACTTTACAAAAACCAAACGTGATTTTAGTTATTGAACATATGAAAACACCAGTTTATGCATGCAAAGCCCAACTTCCTGTGGCCATTTAAAGCCAGCAGCACCTACCTGAGCTGTCCTGCAGGACTCTAGCGGAGCATGTTGGGATGTGTAACTGTTGTAAGCTGCAGGACGTGAAACCAGACAAATGTCGGAAACTAAATCGTCAACAGAACAGTTGCTAAATGCAACAAATGCTGTTGCCTAGCAGGCCGAGAGGGCGGAGCCGCTAACAAATACACACACACCCACAGGCTCACAACGACATTGTGACATCATATGGTACCAGCTAACGTTCTAGGGTCCCTCTTAACCAATAGCGATGGCAGATTTAAATTCAAATGCAGAGCAGAGTTTTTACCTGACAACGGCACAACACTGGCAGTTTTAGACAGAAAATTAAAATTTTATCTAAAATGCACTAAAGTGCAAAACTATTGACGACACGTGTCTGCAGCACGATTAGACACACATTTATATAGTTTATCAGGGAAAAGTTGATTTGGGGTGACTTGCTCTTTAACGTCCATTCCTATTTTTACAGGGTGACGACAGCAGAGACAAACAGCCTCTGCTGACAGCCGCTGAATGCTTCTCTTTGGTCAAGCGAGCCTGTTGACAAGCTAGCAAATCAGCTCCGTTAAACAGGAAAATGAGATGTCACATGTAGCCTGATGCTAATGCTAATACGTTCTGTCTATGAATGCTTACATCAGTGGGTACACAGTGTTTTAAAACACCACTGTGTGTGTGTGTGTGTGTGTGTGTGTGTGTGTGTGTGTGTGTGTGTGTGTGTGTGTGTGTGTGTGTGTGTGTGTGTGTGTGTGTGTGTGTTGATACTGAGGAAACTGGGCCTCGCCTCTCACTGACAGCTGGTGCCCTCTGGGTAATCTGCAATGGTCCAATCATAGCCAAGGATTAGGAGGCCATTGTCTTGGCATGAGAGAGTGTGTGTGTGTGTGTGTGTGTGTGTGTGTGTGTGTGTGTGTGTGTGTGTGTGTGTGTGTGTGTGTGTGAGAATAGGCAGCTTTGTCCCTGCTGCTGTACAGCTGTGCCATGGCAACAACGACCTGCCTCATTTCTTCACAGGTTTACCGACCAGGAGAAACGCATGGCGTTGTGTGTTTAGGGTTCCACATTTAGTGATTGGATGTTTGTAAACAAAAGTAAATAAAGGACACGTGTGGGGAGAAACGGCACCGGTTCTGTTAGCAGAGCTGTCATTTCCACAGGCTTCCAGCAGAATCATCACAGCCATCCCTGCACCTGCACCAGGCCAAGTTTAAAGCCACAGTGTGTAATATTTTAACTAGTTTACTATCAAGTCCTGTGCATCTGTTCACAAACGTTTCTCACCAACGTCTTTTGTAAATATTCCCGTTAGTCTGAAATGCGGTGGCGCTACAGTGTCTTCACTCGCCGGGTCTGAGTTATCCCCGAGTGCTGCTTCTCTGCGGACCAGCCAAACCTTTTTCTCTGGCCCGATACGACTACAGTCTCTTTAGGATTAAAGGAGACCCATTCATGTTACTCACTGCAGACTTTTTATTTTTTGCTTTTCTGCATGAAAATCCTATCAGAGCTGATTGTTTTGGTGCCTTTCCGGTCAGTCGGACATCTTGGTTTCAGTGCTTTTGAGGATTTTTGGGAGTCCATCTGTATGTTTCCTTCTAACAAGCTGAAACATTTTGATTTGTTAATAAAATCAATTCTGAATCGATTCCCATAAAAGCTCCGAGAATCAGAATGAATCGAGTTATAAGTCCAGAAATCTCGTTTAACATAATTTGACCTTTTTACATCTGAAATGAGAAGGAAACGTCCAGCTGGTCTCTTTAGGGTTTAGGTGTGAACGGGGGCGAACTGTAACGTCAGAGGTCAGCAGACGTCATCAGGGGTCACGCATTGGCTGTCTGTAACCTCGCACCAGACGCTCGCCGTGATAAAACCCTTCTCCTGACTCCCTTATCTGAGCTGCACCTCCACGGTTCATGCAGGAGACGACTATTTCACTAGAGTGATTCTTATTTTGGTCCGATGAAGCGAGTTATTACGATCCGCAGGTCGATATTCTGTGTTTTATCTACATTGATGTTCTGTCTAAAGCCATTTAATCAACATAAAGGTTTATTATTCCACGGCTTAGTTCTAATGAGTCTAGTTGATGATTTATTACTGATTAATGATCAGCTACATTCACATGTTAATATCAGTATATGAACAAATGAATGTGTAGCAGACTTAGTCCACGCGTTAAAGGCACGAAGCTTTCTGACGTCTCAGATCTGGTTGGTCCAAACTTCTTAAACGTGAACTTACTTCCTGCTTTCCCCAGTTGCAGCCCGAGCTCACAGCTCATGCTGAACGGCCGTCCTACGGGGATTAGACCAGATTGTTCCCTGGAATAACGTTAGCAGCTACTTCAATCAACTATTATTATTATTATTATCCCAATCCGCCACCCACTCATCAGACGTGAAAGCTCCACCAGACGCCACCTGGGAAGTGTCGTCTGACCAGCCGTGCGTTTGCTGACCTTGCTACGACCTTCGGATACATCAGAAGTCCACTCACTCGCTCTGCAGACCGGATCTCCAGAGCTTCCACTGTTCTGGTGCGTAGCTAGTCAGTGGTGGTTGGTATTAACCTGATAACTCATCAGACAGACAAATGGATTTAATAAAGCACACATCACACCTTTCTGAGTGGCTTAGTGAAGCTCTTAGACACACCGGGTCATCCTTCATCAGAGTTCATGCTCTGTCTCATTTATCATCATTAGCCTTTCATCATTAATATAGTCATAAACTATGTTTTTGTGTCTAGTTATAAAGTGTTGTTTCCCTGGATTAACCAAACTACCTAGTTTCATCAGTAATAATGATTCATGTTGACAATCCATATTAGTATGGAATATTACATTTTATTGAATCCCTTTATTTTCTATTACAAGAAGAAGAAGAAAATATCATTTCTATAGCGCCTCTCAAGATGAAAACCACGAGGCGCTTCACAAAAACAAAAACTGTAAAAATACAAAAAAGAATTTAGAAAATGTTTAAAATATATTTAAAATGAGCAAAAATAGACAATCGTGATTAAAAATGTTAAGAAAGAGAGAGAGTGAACAGGAAAGAGGGAAACCAGTGGATCCTGAGGAAGGTGGAATAGGTGGGGAGAGCAGAATAAAGAGAGAGAGGTGAAGAAGGTCATACAAAAGCCAGCTTGAACAAGTGAGTCTTCAGCTGCTTTTTAAAGGAGACCACTGAGTCCACTGATCTCAGGCTCAGGGGGAGAGAGGTCCAGAGTCTGGGGGCCACAGCAGCAGATGATCTGTCACCTTTG